CTCCACTTCATCTGTCGGAATGGTACTGGCCGGTAACTTATACGAAAGCTAATAGTCATCCATCATGTCCGGCACGTGAGGGAGCTTCTCAATAATTCGATATATTACGCCGTGTGAATCAGGCTCTAGAATGTTGGGAGGGACCTCTTCAACGATGACAGTAGCCTCTTGAACGGTGGGAGGGGACTCTTGAGGGATGATAGGGGCCTCTTGAACGATGACAGGTGAGTCGGGCTTTTTCTTACGGTTTCTTCGCACTATTGGGGTGAACAGAGACGTAATGGCACGTGCACGCCGTCTGATGTGTGAACTCCGTCTTGCAAGAAAAACCTGACGTAGAGCATACACCTTAGCGGGCCGCTAAAATTAAATTAATACATAAATCAGTAAATAAACAGACATGATATTAAACAGTGAAAACAAAGACAAATATATTTCAAACTTGCACGGTATTCACCCAAGTCATTATTACATCATTGTTCACAAAATGCATCAGATAACATTCCAGAAGTAAGCACTTATATAAACATTTAAAAGGACAACATATAGGTTTAGTGCAGGTTCAATGACAACATCAAGAGTAGTAGTTTATTCTTGAAACTTAAATTTTCAACACTGTGAAGTTAGTATTTGTCTTTTGGTTGAAGTAATGCAATTCATTCAAGTTTCAATTTGCAGAAGAAGAATAGAATCTGAAACTTAAAATTGCAACGTGAAAATGACTATCGCAACGCGAAAATGACTATCGCAACGAGAGAATCGCAATGCGATTTTCATTTCGCATTGCGATTCTTTCGTTGCGATAGTCAAATTCGCATTGCGATAGTCATTTTCGCGTTGCGATTTTGTTGTTGCGATTTTCATTTCGTATTGCGATTCTCTCGTTGCGATAGTCATTTTCGCGTTGCGATAGTCATTTTCGCATTGCGATAGTAAACTATTCTTCTTCTGCAAATTGAAACTTGAATGGATTGCATTACTTCAACCAAAAGATAACCAAAAACAAATACTAACTTCACAGGGTTAAAGAATAAACAGTTAAATAATATTGGCAGCAACCGAATGAATTTACTAAGCAATCTAAGTGAAATTACGAGTAAATTTATCATCAAGTTAAATATGAAAAATATTAAACTTACCTCGTTGCGTAGAGTATGAACCTCGTTATGCAACGATGCTACAATCTCACGTAGAGCTGCTACATCACCACGTAAAGTAGACACCTCAACACGCCATGCACCATTGTCATCGCGTAAGGTACCGACCTCCTCACGCAAGGCATTGACCTCATTACGTAACTCCCCTAACTCATCCCGTGGAGGTGGAGAACAGGGAGATAAACGTCGTGGCATCTTTGCCGGTCGCCTATCATGAGGTGATGGTGGAGAAGAGGCTCGATGATTTGACAGAATAGGTGATGATTCTCGTTATGGAGGTGTATATTCGGGTCGATCAGGGGATGGCTCTGGGTGAGGTGATGGCTCTCGAAATGGTGACTGCTCATCATCCGTGCCATAAAAAAATGCTTACTAGCTTGCCACCAATCAGTGACAAGCTCAGCTTCCGTGGGTGTCAGCCTCTGTAATGGAGTGTTGGCCTCCTAACAATATAAAAGCTCAAACAAAGTTAAACGTGTACTAGTAATAACTTGTTTATAAACATATGGTAGTATTTGTGTTAACTTACATTATTTATTGTAGTATACGGTAGTAAATCTTCCCATTGCTGCAAGGATCGTTTCATCTTCCAGGAAATAGCCCTAGGAATATCATTAGAAGTTTTTAATGCATATGTCTGCATGGCGGGAAAGGCCTCAAATATCAAATCTACAAACAATATAATAACAAACATTTGTAATTGTTAAAGAATTCATTATAATTTTGGAAACATTATATAAAAATTATTACCTTAAAGACCCAAATAAAGCCTGACAAAGTGTATTTGGAACCATCGCCACGCAAACTTTTTCGATCATCAAAGGCAGACGACAACTTATTCCATGTAGCTTTCCATAGATACAAATCTCACGGAAACAGGTTCCATGCATTTATGTCCTCTACCAATTTAATTAGATCATTAGGAATAGGTTATCGAGCCTCTCTGCCTAAAAATCTGGCTTGCAAAAGTATTAGAAGGCATACTCGGAAAACATCGACGTCATCCATCCGAGTAAAACCATCTTTATTATTCAATAATCTCGTCAAGTCTTCCACGTGTAAATTCGGCTTCTCCGTTGACAGCTCAGGAAAAACCCGGGAAAACCATGATAGACGGGTAATATGTCTAGTGTACCGATCTACATCATCGTGTCCGAAGCGTAGACCGGTGATTAAGCAAAACTCCTCCCGCCCAAAACACGTATACGCCGGTGGAAAATCAAACCATATCTGTTCATCACGACGTTGTATAGTCTCTGGTAGATCGCTAGTCATGGTTTGAAGAAACAGATGGGTCAACATAACATCTCCACCCGGATGTTGTACTTTCAGCCATGGCCCGAAGCAAGTATCCTCAAATATTTTTCTTTGTGCAGGTGAAAGCTTCGACGCAATTATTTTGGCCAGGCTTACTTTATTTTTTAAGGTCAATTGAGCCGAATAAAAGTTCTGCAAAAACAATAAACATACCAAGTTAGATATACCAAAAACTACACTGTGAAGATATAACAAGAACAATAAACATAAAGAGTAGTAATTTTATTCTTCAAACTTAAATTTGCAACACTGTGAATTTAGTATTTGTCTTTGTTTTTTGGTTGAAGTAATGCAATTCATTCAAGTTTCAATTTGCATAAGAAGAATAGTTTCTGAAACTTAAAATCGCAACACGAAAATGAAAATCGCAACACGAAAAATGACTATCGCAATGTAAGAATCGCAACGCGAAATGAAAATCGCAACGCGAATTTGACTATCGCAACGACAGAATCGCATTGCGATAGTCATTCTCGGTTTCAAATACTAAAATTGAAAGAAACTTGAATGAATTGCATTACTTCAACCAAAAGACAAAACAAAGACAAATACTAACTTCACAGGGTGAAAGACTAAACAGTTTAGCAGTATTGGCAGCAATCGAATGAATTTAATAAGCAATCTAAGTGAAATGGTTAATCTATTATTGAAAACACCAGTAAACTTATCATCAATTTCAATATGAAAAACCTAATAATAATGCAAAAATTTCAAAATAAAAATAATTAAAAAAACTAACCCTCGGTGGTTGATTTGGTTGATTTTCTATTTCTGACCGTGAATGATTTCGCTGGAGATGGAGACTGATATCGTCGAAGATGGGGACTGATTTCGTCGGAGATGGGGACGGATGTCGCCTTAGAGAGTGAGAGATGGAGATGAGACTGAGTTGTGATTTAGGGTTTTAGGTTATGAGTTGCGATTACGGGATATACTGTAGACGGTTCAATGTTCCGATATATTAATATATTCGTGTTTGGAATTTGAAAAAAAATACGCGTTGCGATACGAATGGCGCTATGTAAATCGCATTGCGATAGTCAGATTCGCGTTGCGATTTACGTATTCGCATTGCGATTTACGTATTCGCATTGCGATTTACGTATTCGCATTGCGAATTAGGAAAATCGCAACGCGAATTTGGAAAATCGCAATGCGATAGTTAGAATCGCGTTGCGAATCTGGAAACTGATTTGTGATACCGGAGATCGCGTTGCGAATTATCGATCGCATTGCGATTTAGTTGGTCATTTGGCAAATCCAAAAAAAATTAATTAAAATTGTATATTATAAGGCATTTTTGGTCACTGAGTTATTTTCTCTTTATATAAAGCTAATATAAGATTGCTACAATGAGTGCGTCAATAATACAAAGGAAACATCAATTGGGAAATAAAAGAAAATAAATGACAAGAGAGGCCGTTTCGTCCCCAAAATGACTGATTATCTGTTACTATTAATTATTTTAATATTTTTTTATAATTATGGGAGTAACCACTTACCTGTTCATGAACGTAGCTTTTACGTCGTAAATTGTAATACATGCAGCCAAGGTGCACATACAATATAATAAACAAAACGGCTAGATTCTGAAATTCCATAGATTCCAATAGCCTTTAGGCAAAGGATTAATTAAATATTTATAATTAAATAGTTTCAGGCGGCATTCATATCAAGAAAATTATGCTTGTATGCTTAAAAATGTAAAATGATAAAGAACTCATTAAATGACCTTAGGTTTAAACATATACTACCTAGAACTCATTAAATGACCTTGGGTTTAAACATATACTACCTTGTAAAGTAGTTTTTTTCAATTCAGGTACTATGTCAACGCTTTCAATTCTACTATTCTGACCTTGGTACCCAAAGTGCTTAATCCAAGTCATTGCATTGATTTCAAACCGATTGCATGTTATACCACTGTGTACGACTGCATTACCAAAATTCTCTCTAATAGGCTGAAGCCTTGTCTTCTTGCACTCATCTTCGCAAATCAGTGTACCTTTTTGTTGTGAGTAGTGACTACTGCTTTTGCAGTAGAGTTGCCCTGATGTTGCCAACGTTAACTTTCAGATACAAAAAATAAGTAATTAATCAAAGATGCGTTTTATACCCCAAATTATATCTGTTCATTACCATTTGAAGTCTAAACGCTCCTTACAAATTATTCGAGTATAATATAAAATAACTTGAAAATTTATTCATTATTTAAATCCAATTTGAATAACTCCAAGTCTCGAATAAATCAAATTTATTCATTATTTAAACCGAATTACAATCTGTATTAGTATTACTATTACCATAGTCAGACGTTTTCGTTTCATAAAAAATATCACGAGTAAGGGGTTGATATCATGAAAAGGTACTTTGCTTGTTCATACAGCATGATTCCAACATATAGTTTTATGCAAGGAAACAAATTATGGATCAAATCAAAGAGCTTTAGAAACATTAACAACATAAAGTACAAATAAATAGGAATATATATATATATATTCCTATTTCTATTGGGCGATGAGGAGGTGGGGATGGTTAGGTAAGTAGTAACGTCAACCTCAAGGTTGAACGCCTACAATGTATATCAACTCAAAGTACAAGCGATGTTGAAGGATCAACGTCTTTTACTCCTAGATTTGGTGATCCTTGATTTACTTGATTCATTAGGCGGTTTCCAAATGATATCGTCCAGGTTGCTACAAAATGTCTTGTAAAACTGTGAGACAAAGATGGCATTGTTTATGTCACAATCCAAAAAGTAACGAAAATAAAGAGATATTATATTCAAGACAGATGTGCATTGAGGGAAGGTCGATCCATAAGGACATGCCAAGAAACCAAGTCAAAAAACAATGTTAAAAGCAGATTACTTGATCAAAAACTTGATGTGTGAGTGAAACAAGGTAAACTAACCTTTAGGTATTCTCCTGCATCACCTGCCGCTTTTTGTATATCTACCATCAGAAACGTGGGAGCAACATCGAAAACCTTCATATTCCCGAGAACAATCAAAGGGATAGGGAAGGGAAAATATTATCTAGAAGCTAATGAAGAATTCAGCAAGAGTTGAGAACAAAAACCTACTTCGAGCATAACTGAAAAATGAGAAGTCTTGCTAGCTGAAAGACCTTCAATTCTCATCTGACCAATCACCACAGGCAATATTGTTTATTCACCAGTCCAATCGATTATATAATTAGCAAACAGAGGAATGAAACAGTTACGAAGGAACTAGAGAATTCGTTTACTTACTAGCAAGCATAAAAGCTACATTTCAATTGAAATAAAGAGCAAAATCTGGCATAAGCAATAGTTAATAGCCTGAGTCCTCTACCTTATAGTTGCGAATGTGTGTCTTATAGCCCATTGATTGAGCAACAACTTCCATGCTAGACAGAACAATCCTTGCTGGCTTCTGTGAAACAAATCGTGTCTGATACTTCATGGTGTCCTGACAGGGAGAATGATGCATTCACAAAGCTTAATTTAAGCAGGAAAAACATATATCGGACTGCCTCAAGGAAACATATCCTTAATACAAGATATTTTGAAATTGCCATATATGACTTCCTGATTTGACTGCAAGGTAAACTAATGCACATAAATAGATGGCATTAGACATTGAAAAGCAAATAAAACCCAAGAAGAGGCAGAAGCAATTAGTTCCTTCATGAACTGTTCAACAGAGGTAGAAGCACAGATAGACATTTATCAAAGAACTCTACCTTCCCTCGGTCAAAAAGTGTTGCAAGATTCAAGCCTTGAGAGAGAATGATCAAGTCAAATGCATTAAGATTCAAAGGACCAATATCGTCATTTCTTGATGGTTCATTACCCCTTTCTTCCTACAATATATTATTAGGAATTGGGAGTTAAAAATTAGTTGCAGTGATGCAATTAGACTAACAAACCCAATTTAGGCACACATGCATAATGAAACTTGGTTGAAATTATTGATTGGAAAACCCAAATTATACTTCTACATCACATTTCTAACTAAATTAAAGCTGTTAAATACCTTATCAATCACAGGATCATCAAACACAGCATTTACGTCATCCAAGTTAATATCTTCGTACTCGAAATGTTTGACAGGAACATAGTTCTTCTTAAACCACTCATCACTCCTGATTTGCTCAATTGTAATGCGCTGTATAGAAAAGGGAGAATGAAGACAATCAAGTAGAAACAAAAGTCATGTTGAAAACATTGTTATATTTACAGAAACACTTATATCAATAAAAAGAAATACCATATAGTGGTAGGTACAGGTGCACTTTCATATGAGACCAGAGTCCTTCATGGTTTGCAATGGGAATAAGTTATGCAAAGTAAATAGTCAAAGCAATCCATATGTAAAACATTTCTTTATGGTGGTCTGCATGAGGGCTATCAGAACACTATCTCCAGATAAATAATAGCTTCTCGAAACTACACTAGATTCAGGGTGAATTCCAGGATAGCTAGACATCATCTAGTATACCTTGAAACAAATTCTAAGGCCTTGTTGTTCATTTTTTATAGTTAGGCAGCCCAAACAATTCAATGATTGGACAACAAGTACTTACAGTTTGAGGATTTGGATCTAGAATTCTATGAATCAAGGATTTTGCTTCCATGGGAAACCAAGAAGGGCAAGAAAACTCGGCTCTCTCAATCTGCAGTTTAAAAAAACCCATAAATGAAGTACTGATTATGTCAAAATGATAGTTTTTCTTTATTTATTTATATGTTATTGGTATATACCTTAATCCATAAGGAGAGATAAAAACAATAACGATAAACTTGTAAACATGAAGAAGAAGAAAAAAAGACAATACCTTACTATACAGTGTGGTGAGATCAAGCTCATCAAATGGAAGATAACCTGCCATCAGAACATAAAGGATGACACCGCAAGACCAGACATCTGCTACAGCACCATCATAACCATTGTGACCGAGAACCTGTAACAAAAAGGAAATATTGATTTAATAAGCAAGACAATAACACAAAATAAACAATTAAATTTTGTATATTCAACTCAAAACATGTGTATCTTATAATTTTACCTCTGGTGCCACATAGTTAGGAGTTCCACATGTCGTCCGAAGTAGGCTAACTCCCTAAACATACACATCATCAAATAACAAATCATGTCACAAAACTTCTTTCAAACTATTTTATGTCGGGGGAGAAGGCAAAAAAAAGTTGTTCACTCTTCACTTAATTTCTTACTTGTTCTGGCAATGCGCTAAGTCCAAAATCTGAAATCTTTAAATTTCCTTGGGAATCAAGTAAAAGATTTTCAGGCTGTAAACAAAGAGAAAACAAGTAAGAATTACGTAATCTGAACAAAGGAAAATAGCAACACGGATGTTAAGAAAAAGGACACCTTCAAATCTCTGTGGTAGACTCCCTTGCTATGGCAAAATTCCACACCATCAATAAGCTGTTGGAAATATCTTCTAGCTTCGGCTTCACTAAGACGACCATTATGAATCTGCAAGATTACTGATTTACCATCCGCCTTCTAAACAAACCTGATAATGCAACCAAAGTTGGATCTTTGCTTCTAAGATACTTACTATTTTATCGAACAATTCACCACCAGTAATGAACTCCAAGATTATATAAATCTTAGTTCGACTTGCTATAACCTGATAAATCAAAAACTAACATTTTGTTAGAAACCAACCAAATATGAACCATATAGAATTTAATAAATTAATGCTACAGTGATACGACAGAATTACTTACCTCGTGCAAACGAACAACGTAAGGGTGTCTAACAAGCTTCATTATAGATATCTCCCTTTTGATCTGAAATATTTAATAAATATAGAAGGAAAATAAAATTCGTGATTAGATTCAACAGAAACTAAAACTTTCAAACCATATTTAAGAACTGATAACTATGACTATGATTTAAGCAATGGCAATTTATCAAATTCACCTATAATCCAGTAAAACTGCATAAAAAGTAGACAGAAATAAATAGAATCTCTTTTATTATACGTTCAACAACTTTCTCATAAAATTACCAAAATCTCATTTCAGTAACATAAGTGATGGAAATTTGACCTGATCGACCATTTTGTGTTTGATAATAGTGCTGCGATCGAGGACTTTCATGGCAACACTTTCGCCGGTTTCCGTATTTTGCGCGAACTTAACCTTTGCAAAAGTTCCTTCGCCGACTGTTCTTCCAATCTCATACTTTCCTACCTTTCTGACCACCATCGCTAATTTTCTTTCAATTTTCTCAGTCTCGGAATTCCACTTTCTCTCTCACCAAACAGTGGGAAAAGAAAAAAAAAACAGGGGGAACGACAGAAAAGAAAGAGTTTGAAGTATAGAAGAAAATCGACCAAAGCTTAATCAAAGCGTTAGCGTGTAGGTTTTAGCCTTTTATATTAGTACTTAAAAATCACTACTTGTCATAAATCACGGTGTAATAAAAGCATAATAAAGATAAAATTCAGTTATGTTTTCGAGAAAAGAGAGTAAATAAATTCTCCGGATTTAGAATTTGCAAAGATAAATGATCATTTTTTAATGTTTGTAAATTTCGAGTTTTGAAATTTAGCTGTGACTAAACTTTAACTGGCTGTTGTTGCTTTCTTACATAGTTAGTGCTAGCCGACAGCTCATCTGTTTGACTCTACTTTTGGACATTCCTTTTTGTTTTTCATTTTTTTCGTTTACCATCTTTTAAATATAATAAATTTTAATTTTAGTTATCACTATAACTATTTTTAATTTACTGATTTATAATTATATAAAAATAAAAATTTCTACCATTCTAACAAAAAATATTTAACTTTAAGATACATATATGATCTCACCATTCTAATACAAAAATATTTAATTTAATATCTTAAAATTAAAATATTATATTTTTTTTATAAAAATTAAATCTCACCTTATTTTTCACCCTTCCTTTTAGGGGTGTTCAAATTTTCAAACTAATTTGGTTAACCAACCGAAACGAATTAGTTTAGTTAATTCGATCGGTTAACGGTTAAGATAATTTTTAGAATTCGGTTAACGGTTAATTCGGTTCGAAATCAGTTAATTAATCGAAATTAAATTTTAAATATTATATACAACATATGGGCTCAGCCCAAACCATTTAAAACTCAATTAATAATTTAAGATCCAATAACTTTTAAAAATAAATCAATATTAATTAATTAAAAAATTTATATAAAATTTTTATTTTATAATTATATATTATTTAAATTAATTGTAATTATTTTTTTGAATTAAAAATATTAATATATTATATATAACATATTGGCTCAGCCCAAACCATTTAAAAACTCAATAATAATTTAAGATCCAATAACTTTTAAACCTAAATCAATATTATTAATAAAAAATTATAATTTTTTATTTTATAATTATATATTATTTAACTTAATTGTAAACTGTTTTTTGAATTAAAAAATATTTAATTTTTATATAAATTAGAAAATTTTAAAAAATTTCGGTTAATTCAAAAATTAACCGAAATTTATTCGGTTCGGTTAATATTTTTGAAAAAAAATTCGGTTTGATTATCGGTTAAAGAAAAAAAATCAATTAATTCGATTAATGATAATTTAGTTCGATCAGCCACCGAATTAACCAAATGAACAATTCTACTTCATTTATTTACATTCCATATCTTCGATTAATATATTTAAACACTTGAAGTGTTAAAGAAGCAGTAGGATTGATTCCTTCGAGATTAACAAAGATTTTCCATGATTTAAAAATTTTATGTATTCATACTTAAAAGTTCTATGGTACTTAGCTTAAAGAAAAAGAATAGAATAGAAATAAGGACGGATATAAAATTTTAAGTTGGAATAAATTTTTAAAATTTTAAAATAGAGTAAATTTATAAGATTTCATAAGTGAAAATAGATTATCAATTAAAAATATAAAAAAATATATTTAAAATATTTATTTATTTAAATTTTTATAATAAAAAAAGACAACCACTCTTTTCATCCATCCTTTAACGGAGAACAGCATTAATGCACACCGTAGGTTCAGTAATTGTCTTCAAGAAGAGGATTAATCATCAAACATCAGCCGCATGAGTTTTTTTCTTCAAACAATTAGGGGAAAATAATAAAATTAATATTCAAAATTTTAATTTTAACCATTTATTTAAATTTATTTAACAAGTGTATTTTATATAAAATTAATAAATTTTATAATATATATATAACACTACTCTATAAATAAATATTACCAATGATCATTCTCTATCTAAAAATATACGATTAGGATTGAAAGAGGATATGGATATCTCCCAATTGCAAGTTCCAATCGAACTCTGGTTCGTGGGGAAAAGTGGGAGGCCTCATCAGTCATATCATCTTCCACTTTCTCATTTTTTGTATTTTATATTTACAGGGATTAGGTAATTTAATACAAATTAAAAAAATATGATATTGGAAATATTAATATTTTTTATTATTTTTGGTAAAATGATATTTAAAATATTATTTTTACCGAAAATATTAATATTGAACGTTATTTAAAATATTATTTTTTTTATAAAAAATGTTAATATAAAAAATATTTATTTTAGGTAGCAATTTAACGTTTTCGTTAGAAAAAATAATATTTTATGTAGCGATATACCAAAATATTATAAAAATATTAATATTTCAGATAACACCTTTTATTAATATTATATTATACTGTCGTACAATAGAATTACCATATTTTTATTAATATTATATTATACTGTCGTACAATAGAATTACCATATTTTTATTGGCTTTTATTATTTAAATTCTTGTCACACAAGACAAGTAGGAGCGAGCAAAGAAATCTATCGATATTTGAATGATTTATAAATTTATAATTTATAAATATTTGAATTAAATTAAAATTTTAGTATTTTATAAATAATTTTTTATTTTTATAATATAGAAATATGTTATACATTGCATAGTGAAATTAATTTATAAAAGGTATATATGAGTTATTAATTATTTTAAAAATATTTATAAAAAACTTAAAATTTTATCAGATAAAATCAAAATTTACAAAATAAAGCTAATTTATTAAAATACAGTTGAAATCAAAACTTAAAATTAATATAAAGAATCAAAAAAGAAATTGAAATAAAATGAATGGTTTAGAAAATTCGACTAAATCCAATTGATTTCACCCTATTAACTTTCTGTTCAATGCCTACCCTATTAAATTTGCTCTCGTGGTCTTTTAAAGTAAATAATTACAACCTAAACATAGTTAACTAAATTTCACATCATTTTCATGATTTCATCACATAATCATAATTTTCAATTTAAAGTGATTAAGTCGTGTGAATAAGATTTTGGATACGATAATAAAACTAAATGGAAATTTTATTATATAAAAAACATTATGATCGGATTTTAATTTACTAATTCATTATTTATACATTTAAATTAAAAAAATTAATACCTTTATGATCCACTTCCCCAATTCTAGAACATGGCACAGACGTGTCTCTTGATTCTCAATTGTCCCTGGAATGCTATTTCAGTATTTCTAAGAGTCGAGCTTTATCGATGAGGCTAATAATAGAATCCAGTCATTTCATCATCAAAATCATAACATAGTTTTAAGATTTGGAACATCCAAATAACTTGTTATTGTCTTTATCTTTCTTCACGGTAAAGCTGTAGCTCAGCATATCCTTTTAAGCCTGCCATTAACGAGGAAGATTGATACCTTGGGCTGAACCAAACTTCATTTCTCAATTATATGATTTCTCCCTCAACTACCACTGAATTTTAATTTTCGCCAACAGATCAATGAATTATCGGAAGGAGGACAGCGGTGGTGTCACAGTCATCCTAGAGAATTAAATAGGCATGATGGTTAGGAAAACTATGGGAAAAGCTCCAATAATGAACCACTGAATCTAGTAGTGAGTTTGAGAAAGATGGAAAAAGGATTCCATGCCGAGATGGCAGTACAGGGTTTCTCTGGGCGCACTGGAGGGGGTAGCTCTTGACACTCTGGAATTTTACAGAGAAGATGAAGCCATAAGTGTTAAATACCGCTTATGGAAGATGGCGTGTAAGCCATTATAGGCCTTGAAGATCAGGTTAATAGTAGTCGTCACAAGGGGAGGTAGTGTGGGGGCTGGCTGCGGAGGTAGCAAGTATATGACGTAAGATGAATATTAAAGGAATACATTGGATGCTCCTGGACCTGGTAGCATAACTAGAATATTAGAAGCAATGAAACTAAAAATTAACAGCATCAAGATACAGAAATAGACCAAATCCGAATCCAATGAAGGCCCAAAATATGAAATTTCTGCAACTTTCTGAAGATCCCAGAAGTAACATGGGCCGACAATCAAACATAGAATTAAAATTTAAAGGTCAGACAATAACCAGCATCAGAGCAATTTTCTCAAAAAGATCAGACAACATTGGACTAATGAACTTGTTAAGATGTAGTAAAATATTCTTCGTTTTCTACTTCCAGCAAGGTTTAAGGATTCTATAACTTGAAAGGCTTGCCTGATGGAAATAAACTAGTCAAGAAATAAACTACCTTAATTTACGGCCATTACGAAAACCTATTCTTCTTGTACACATCAAACAATGTCATGTTAACACCATTGGAAAAATAAAATAAATTGTTGAAAAGTTCCATAAGACATCGAACAATTCACCAAAACCTATAAAAAAATACGTCTTATTCAATGTACTATATTATAGTTATAACATGAGAAACAAAACAATACCATCAAATTGTTAATTCAAATCACACAGATGAAGTCTGGGGAGGAACCTTAGCGTTCACCGCAACCTTACCATCGTGATTTAAGGCCGAAACACCACCTGCAGGTGTGCCAGGTGGCATTGCCTGATATGGCGCCGCCGTAAAATACACCTGCCTCCCAGCCCCATCATAAGCCACCTGAACATATCCTGGCTCAGGCACACCCATTGTAAACCGGCTGCTCTCGGTAAACATCCTGAACAACATGCTGTACACCATAGTAAGGTTGACCGCCTGGTATGGTCACCTGTCGTATTGTTGGAGGCTGCTGATAAACACCAGCCGAAGGAGCTGGAATTAGGTAAACCGGTTGGTTTCCTGAGGGAGCGGTAGCGGCTGCAGGTACTGGATAAGCAGCGTTGGTTAAAAACGTTGTTTGAATGGGCATTTGCAATGGAGCTGATACTATTGCTGGTGAAGGGGCGATCTTATCTGACATTTGAGGATAATCTTGTGTATTGTAAGCTCTAGCATTTGATTCATCGACTTTTCTTTGCCTAATGCCTTGTTCTTGAGTAGCAGAAATATGCATCTTCTGTAACTCATGGGTCAGCCTCTGGACCGCTGCTGGTGACATCATTGGGTCCGCAATCACA